GATTTTTTAACAACCACATATGGGTGTGGGACCAGCCCATTCCACATCTCCTCCCCTCCTACCAGTCTCTATGTGGCTTCTTCTGTATATTTTTAGTTATAGGACTTCTGTTCAGCTAGACTTCAGGCAGTTCTCAGTGATGGTTGTTCTGTAGTTTCATTGTAATTTGATGTGGTTATGGTAGGAGGCAAGTACAGCATTTACCTACTTCATCATCTTGACCTGTAGCCCCAACAACTTTCATTTTTATTGGCAATTAAGTTTTTATTATTAAATGAATTAATTATTAAATAAAATGAATTAATTAACAAAGATTGTTTTTATGAAGGAAGAAATTGGTTGAAATGACCTTTAAGGATAGCCTCAGTGGGGAGTCACAGGCTGTATTGGGGTGCTGAAAGTGCACGGTATTTGGTCTAGTGTTAGAGGGGCTCCTCTCTCCAACTCTTGGCTCAGTCATTCAGTAAGTCATGTTAGTAGCTGGAAATCGACCATGGTGGGACTATTTACACCACAATAATTGGCAAATGCTAAAAATCAAGTCTTTCTTCCCTGAGAAAATTGGCTGTTAAACATTTGCTGGCTCAACAGTGGACTGTACATGAGCCATTTTCAGCAGTTTGTGTTTCTCCAAGCTACGACCAGAAGGCCAGGAAAACAAACTGGGCCAGAGGCAGTCACACTGAGTTTTTGTGCTTTCTGGATTCCCACCCATGTGGCTGTGTCTGCCAGAGCAAATTGGCCGTGCTTACTTTCCTTCGGGTGTTAACTTGGAAGGCGCTCTGTGGATTCACATTAAAGCCTGAGAAATAGAGCCACCCCCATCTGTGTCTGCTCTGAATCTTTCCTTGTGAACTTGATACCAGATGAAGTAGAGGGTCCCTCTTCCCACTGTGTGCTGCTGGGGGTTGGCATATTATGATATTTGAGAAAAAGAAATTTCTGGGACTCTCACAGGAGAATAAGTGATTTTTATCTGCATGAAATTAAATCCCTGCATTTCCAAAGTCCCATTTCCCTTCGTCCAGTCGTAGAAGTGTAGCTGAGGTTTCAGTAAAGGTAGAAGCAAAGCCAGTGTCTAGAGTTTCCTTTCCATGTTGGAGCCGGGTCCAGTACAGTATCAGGCTAGTTGCAGTCCATCGTTCCATTGTGTGGGGGCGAATGCAGGGGAGCAGGAGCAAAGGAGCCCCATAATCCCAGAGTCACACGGGTCCCAAGAGAACCAGGAGCACAAGAGAGCAAACTCTTTTGTTTAGGGGGTAATATATCCCAAATCTTCACGCCCTTGCAGTGGCCGTGCCCATTTTGGCCAACCATCTCTGTCTCCAGGTGTGATTGACAGCAAGCACATTTCCTAGTCCCCCCAACTTTACTGGCCATTCCTCTATCTTTCCTTTGTCCAGTACCCTTCCCCCAGTGCTTTGCAGGGAACTTGCCTATGTCTGGCCCTCTCTTTTTTTCCCCCCTGTTATTAATAATTAGTTAATTACAACGGTATCGATCCCACTTGCTCTGTGTTTTGTCACTGCTGCTGTGGCCCAGGGGACTTGCATGGATCAGTGTAGAGACCCACCAGATCTCGTGTGGGCATGTAAACCTGGAGAGGGATCTGAACAACATCCTGTGGCACTTTTTTCTTAACCACAGGGATAAGTGCATGTATTTATAAAGTTAAAACCTACATGTGCTCTCATATTCTGCCAGGGAAAGACCATTACCTCTGTGGCTTTCCTGGGAAGTAAACAAGCCTGCCGGGTAGTGGGTGAATGTCCTGCCAGGACACCAGCTGTTTTCTGGGCTGGGTTCCAGCCTGGAGTCTGCCAGTGTCTCTTGTCCAGGCTTCCAGCCTGCAGGCGCCTCTGGAGCTCTTTGTGCATGGGTACCTGGCTCCCTCAAGTGATACAAGCCCGGCTTTGGTGTGGAAAGGAAAGAACTTGTCTGGAGACAAGACTCTGGCTGAAGGCCAGTTGCTGGGGTCTGAGGGGACATGGGCCCAGCAGGAAATTAGACATTAATTAGGGAAGAGGGCAGAGCTTTGCTGATGTCTTATGGTTACTTCCATTCTACAGGGTTGTCTAGAGGCCAGTGACAAGCGAGGCTGTGTCAGAGTAGGAGAGAAAGACTTGAGATGTGGCATTTGACTTGGACATGCCTCAGGAGATTTAACCCTCGGGGACATGGTCCTGAGTATGGGACCAAACACTGAACTATGAAGGAAAAGCTACTCCTACTTCCAGTCCTATCCCCTCCCAAGTTCCCCTTAATCCTGATTACAAAAAAGGCTGGATGTAACTGCAGTTAGCAGGCTTTTAACACTTATTAATTTCCATTTTTTACTTTTTTAAACATGTTTTTATTGATTTCAGAGAGAGGAAGGGAGAGGGAGAGAGAGATGGAAACCTCAAAGATGAGAGAGAGTCATTGATCGGCTGCTTCCTGCATGCTCACTACTGGGGATCGAGCCTGCAACCCAGGCATGTGCCCTGACCTGAAATCGGACCAAACTGTGGCCTCCTGGTTCATGGGTCGACACTCAACCATTGAGTCCCACCACCGGGCCTAATTTCCCTTTTGAATAGGGTTAGCCTTAGGTTCAGAGCCTATAACTTATTCTTAAAATAAATTTACATAAAAGTACGCCCCCTCCACCCAAAATGTTAACTCAGTAACAATAGAGGTGGCAGATGGCAAAAATCCTGAAGTCCAGGCACCTTTGCAATAGAAAGCGAGCAGTTCTGATGCTGAGGGTTATAGAAGAACTGGTTAAGACAAAGGCCCTTGGGGCCAGGCCTAACTCTTTCAGTTGAAGTGCTGTGAGAAAGTCCCTTAACTGCTCTGTGCCTCAGTTTCTTCATCTGGAAAATGACGGTGGGGTGATGAAGCTCATAGCCCGCAGGCTGTTGTGAGGGCGAAATGGATGTGCAGAGGATTCAGAGCAGTTCTGGGCACAGTACGTTCCCTTAACAGTGGTTACTGTTGTCATTCCATGAGCAGGAAATATGCTGGGGGGCAGGTAGGTAGGAGGAGGGTGCTCTGGATAGTAACATGTGGCGGCCTGGGAAGGAACCAGCCCCCTTGAGGAGGACGTAGGAGATGATGGGCCTGACAGTGTGTGGCTGGCCTACAAAGGTTTCTTGTGGTCTAGTGGGTAGCAGGTGTGGCTGGAGGAGGTGGGGTTGCTGGTGGAGACTGTGGGGTGATGCCGTGGGTGATGGATGGGTGGGGTGCACAGAATGTGGAGGGGTGGGTCTGTCTGACTTCCCTCCAGCCTCAAAATCACAGGCCCCAGGCTGGGTTCCTGGAACGTGCAGGCCAGTAATAGAACTGACTGTGGATGACGTACCCTTCTCAGATCCAACCCCCACCCCAAGGTGAGGACTTCCCAACAGCACCCACCCATCACAGGGACACAGCAGGTAGGCCGTGTAGCTGAGGGCTTCATGCATGGCATTGAAATACTTGTGAAGCTCATTCACTCTGAGTCGGTGAGTAACACAGATACCAACCCTTGCAACTTATAGGAAAACAGGCTGGCATTTTCTCCCTCCCGAGAAGAGTGCTTGAGGTGCCCATCTTCTATGATGGAGGTACTGATTCCCACTACATTTCTTTTTCTGCCACTTTCTGCAATAACTGTGCCTGGGACCTCATATTTGGTCCTTGACTTCAGTCTATTCCAGCTGCTATAACAAAACACCACAGACTGGGGTCTTATAAATAATAGAAACTCATTTTTCACAGTAGTGGAGTCTGGAAGTCCAAGTTCGAGGAGCTAGCCTGGTGTCATTCTGAAGGGGTTCTCTCCTCCTGAATCACAGCCAGCACCTTCTCACCTGTCCTCGCATGGTGGGTGGGCAAGGGAGCTCTGTGGGACCTTTTGTGTAAGGGCACTAATCCCACTCCCGAGGGCTCCACCTTCATGCCTAATCGCCTCCCAGAGGCCCCATCTGTAATACCATCACCTTTGGGGGTTTAAGATTTCCACATGTAAATTTGGGGGAGGCAGAACTATTCAGACCATAGAGTCCTCACAGCCACTCTGGGAGCGGGCCCTATCATGAGGCCAGTCTATAGAAAGACAACTAAGGCCCCCTAGGTGTATGGGACGTGGAGTAGGAACTCCGTCTCTGACCAGATGTTGTTTGGCCTGAGAGATAAACTCTGGGTCCAGTACTTTCTACAGAGTATAGCAAAGCCTCAGGGAAAATACATTAATTTTTGAAAGAAATTTAGAAAGCACATAGCTTTAGTGGTCCCAATTCACTGTTTGACCTGGTGTTACTGGTGGCAGTTCAGCTCTTGTGTCCTGTGAATCCTAAGTGAGCCTGGGCCTTCCTTGGAAAATAGTAGAGTGGAGGGTGGGTCATGTGAGGGAGGGGAAAGGTGAGGGACGGTGTGTCCCTGCACAGGTTCCATCCGCTGTCCCCACTTAGCACTTAGCGTGAAGAGAAGTGGGTGCTCTCACTACCCACCAGCACTGCTTCAGCGCTGCGTGGAGGGTGGCTGTGTTGCAGGCCTGCCTTCCCTCCCGCCTCACTGCGGGCTCACAGTTGGCGTCTGCTGCATGAACTTGAGGCCCTGCCTGGCAAGAGCCTCCCTCGGTGCCCCTGGACTGTGTTGATTGAAAAACCTGGGACTTGCATATTTCCACCGTCTTACTTATGAAATCTCTATTTTGGAGTTGAACGTTTTAAGAAGTCTCAGGGCTATGATGATCTAGGCTTTGGACGTTTGTGGTTTTTGAGAAGCCATGCTCTAAATGGACACAAGGACAGTCATTTTACCTCAGCAGTGTGACAGTGACTCTGTCAATACCAGTCTACAAAGTTAAAAACGTTATTTTCTGGAAACGACCCCACCGTGTGATAAGGATTTGATTGTCTGCTGGCCTCCAGTCGCTGGCTGGGTATATACAGTACTTGCAGAATTATTCCTATCCAGATTGCTCTGAGTTTCGGGCCTCCTCCATCTCTAATGGCCTTCTCTTCTCTGTGCCACAGGGAACTCTTGGAGACCACATGCCGCCTGGCCAACACGTTAAAGAGGCATGGAGTGCGTCGAGGGGACCGTGTGGCCATCTACATGCCTGTGTCCCCACTGGCTGTGGCTGCAATGCTTGCCTGTGCAAGGATTGGAGCTGTCCACACAGTCATTTTTGCTGGCTTCAGTGCAGAGTCCTTGGCTGGCAGGATCAATGACGGTGAGCGTGTGGGCAAGGAGAGGGAGGGAGGGAGGAATCCAGAGCCCGCGGTCCTTGCTCCTTGGACTTAAAGTAGAGACAGACATTAATAAAAGTGACACAAAAAGATTACAGACACTACCAGGACAGGCTGAGTGCACATTGCTGAACGAGCATTTGTTCTGAGCTGAGATCCGAGTGTGATGGATGTAACCAGGTGAGGAAAGGAGGGAAGATTCCAGGTGGAGGGAACAGCATAGGTACCAGCTGAGTGGTGGGCGGAGCAGTGTGCCTGAGGGCCTACCCAGGTGGTATATTACATTGATTGATTTTCATCTTGGCCCATCCTTGCATTCTGGGAGTAAATCCCACTGTCCTGATGTATAATCCTTGACTTTAAAAATTGAATAGTAATCTCCCAATAAAGAAAATTCCAAAACCAGATACTAGGCTGCTGGGTACAATTTGTTAGCATTTTGCGTTGAACATTTTTGCATCAGAGTTCATAAGGGATATTGGTCTGTAGTTTTCCTGTGATGTGTTTGTCTGGCTTTGGGATCACTGATACCATTCTATGCTGGCCATGTAGAATGAATTAGGAAGTGTTTCCTCCTCTGCAATTTTTTTGGAAGTTGCAGAAGGATTGATGTTGATTTGTCTTTAAATGTTCGGTAGAATTCACCAGCGATGCTATCTGGTCCTGGAATTTGCTTTATTGGAATCTTACTATTCACTTTTTAACTGAGTCACAGAGAGGTTAAGTGACTTGCTCAAGGTCATATCATTAGTTAGTGACAGAGCCACGGTTTGAAGATAGGCATTCTGCCCCAAGAGTTCAGACTTTTATCATTACACTAGGCTCCTTGTTTTCTCTATTGCAGATTATGCCCAAGTGTTTCTGTTGAAATTCTTAGAAACAAGTAACAGCGGTTGATTCTGGGGACTTAGCATATGGGGAGTTAGTAGCTGGATGCTGGGCACTGCCCAGAACCTCAGGAATCCTAAACAACCAGGCCATGGAAGGGCAGGGGCTAAGGCTCTGAGGGCCTCAGTAAGAGACACTTCTGTAAATATTCTCTCTAACTTGGTCATTATAAGGTCTCTTCCCCAGTATCCTTCAGTCCCTGTGTCCAGCTATTCAGTTGTCAGATTCCTGGGGATAGGACTCTGTTGGGACTGGTATCTGTATCCTCTTGGGTCAATGAGGGAGTGCTTTGTATTGCTGTGTAATTATTGCTGAGTAGTTTATTGGTATGTCATAAACTACTCCACAACTTAGTATTTAAAACAGTAGCTCAAAGCAATAAATATTGTATTTCATGATCCTGTGGGGCAGGAGTCAGATGGGCACAGTGGGAATGGCTTTTCCCTGTTCCACGATGGCTGGGATATCAGCTGGGTTGTCTTGAACGGTGGGGGACTATGAGTCATTGCTTCATCTTCGTGTGGCACTTTCCACTTGACTAACTTGTGTTTCCTCACAGCGTGGCAACCTCAGGTAGCCAGACTTGTTACATAGTGCTGCATGGCTCCAAGAGGATGGAAGTGGAAATTGCCAGTTATCCTAAAGGCCCGCCCAGAATACATAGAGCATTATTATAATTATACTCCAGTGGTCAAAGCAGTCGGTGGCCTTCCCAATTCAAGGGAATGGGACCTAGACTCTACTTCGCTGTGAGGAGTAGTATGAGACCAGGTCAGAAATTTGCAGTTGTCTTTAATCTTCCCCTGGGAGGGTGGTAGTATGGGCATGGCCACCGGTGTCTCACCGTGAGCTGGGCAGCCACCTCAGGTGGCATGTACTATTCTAGATTTCTAGTTCCCTGGCCTGGCTTCCAGGCTGTGAGCGCTCCACATCCCTTTATCTACTCTCTCTCAGGCCATATGAGGAGTGGAGAGAGAGAGGTGTGGTGGGGAGGGGAGGAGAATGGCTCTGAGAGATATTATGGGAAAAGAATAATGGCCTGCATAGATATCCACACTCTAATCCTCCAGAACCTGTAAATATCTTCTATAACATGGCAGAAGGGCGTAATGTACCTTAAAATGGAGAGCTTATCCAGGTGGGCCCAATCTAATCACATAAGTCCTTAAAAGCAGAGAACTTCCTCTGGCTGGAGACAGAAGACGTGTGGCAGAGGGGAGGTCAGAGCGGTTCAAAGGGTGAGAAGGACTTTGCTGGCTTTGAAGATAACAGGGGATGTAGGTATCTCTAGAAGCTAAGAACAACCACTGGCTGACAGCAAGGACATGGGGACCCCTCAGTCTTACAGTGACATGGCACTGATTCTGCCAACAGCCCGAATGAGCCTTCAAGCAGATTCTCCCCGAGAGCCTCCAGTGGGATGCCCTCTGCATGCCCACCTGTTACTGCTAGAAGTGGAGCTTTTGGGGTGCCACAGGAACAAGAATTCCCTGAGGCCCGCACAGGAGGATGAAATATCGTGGAAAGCTTTATTGATGATGTAATATTAAGGGAGTTTCCCTGCAGGGTCCTGTTTCCCTCAGCCTTGCCATGGGAAAGTCCCATTTTGTCTTCAGCAGGGCTAGAATTAAAGTCACTGCCCAGAGCTTCCACTCCATAGCAAAGGCCGGTCCAGTCCAGCACCTGGCTAGCTTAGCTTGTGTTCCCAGCTGCAGTCCACTGCATGTGGGGTCTGCATGGCCATGGGCCATGTGGCTTGTAGGGCCACATGTGGGCTCGGGTGGGCCACGGCGCAAGTGAGTGCAAGGGAGCAGGAGCGAAGGAATAGGAAGAAGAGAGCATGAACCCTTTGTCTCAGGATTTTACCTGGGAGCTTAGCCAATGAACCCTTTAGGATTTCATGTGCTTGCAGTGGCTCCGTCCCTCTAGCCAATTATCTCTGTCCAGGTAGGGCCGACAGGCAGGCCCCTTCCCCATGTCACCCCGACTTCACTGTGCATGTGCCCATCTTCCTCTTTGTTGGACCCCATCCCCCAGTGATTTGCAGTGGTTCCCTGGGGAGTGTAAAGCTCCAGCTTACTGGTGAAGCTGCCCAAAGGACCATGCTTACAATGTCTGGCCTCCTCTTTGCTTTCTTTCTATTTTAATATTAGCTAGCTAATTACAACAATAACACCCTGACACCTTGATTTTGGCCTTAAGACTCTTAAGACAGGACCCTGTGAAGCTCCCCTGGACTACAGAATTGTGAACTAAAAAATTAGTGTTTGTGCCACTAAGTTTATGGTAATTGGCTGTGGGAACCATAGAAGACTAATACAGATGCTGATACCTGCTCAGAAACCAGGAAGGTAAATCGAATCCTCCCAGATAAAGCATCAGGCTGATCCTGCCTGTGCCCTGGTGCTGTGCACTCACCCTGTCCCTGTTGCCCAGCTACGGGGAACCACGAGGCGATATGTGCCCCCCACAGATCTCTCAGGGACCAAACCTGTGCACACAGGCTCCTGTCCTTGACAACTACCCAGGTAGAGGCTTTGGACAAATGAGCCCCAGGAGAGAGACATGGGCCATGGGAAGCTGGAGAGGAGCTAAAACGCACGTAACACAATTCTAGCATGTTGGATGGGGCAGGCCAATGTTTTCTCCTGCTGAGGTTCCTTGAGAAAGGCCTATTTGAACCTGTTGGATCATCTGTCACCTTTCCCTGCAGGAAGCTCACCTGGAGCAGTCCTAGGTCTGGGAGACATAGGCCTTGGAGAGTTTCTGACAGATTCTATCCAACAGAATTTGTTTACACAAGATGACTGATTATCAAGGTCCAAGGAGCAAAGACTGTGTGTGGCCAGGGGCCCCTGGTAGGCAGAGCCGGATGGCACTGGCCTTGGCACCCTAGGGAGTCTAGATTATATCTCTGACCCCTGTATGACTCTGCTGAGTCATCCAGCTGCAAAGACCCGACTAGAGAATTCTAGGGCTCTTGGGATGAAGAAAGAATGTGGGTATGTTGCTAGAAATTGCTTTTCAGACTGAGAGGCTCAGGGAGATTGGTGCCTTAGTTAGGGCTCCCAAGAAGCAGACCCTGTGATGAGAGGTCAAGTTCATTTGGAAAGTGGTCCTGCATAGTGCTCTAGGGCAGTGGGGCTGAGGCTGGGAAGAGGAATGAAATAAGACCAACTTTCACAGTGGGCGACCAGAACTCAGTCCCACAGGGAAACCCTGTAGGATGATGAAGCCACGCGTGTCAGGAGAACCCTTCTACCCAGGGACTAAGGAATTGGGGTATTTATATTCCAGCTCTTGAGAGTCACTTGTTGAGGGCTGCCGGAGTCGGGGTAACTCCCAAGCACTTCTGCCTGTGGTTCCAAAAGAAGGCCTTGGTGGAGAGGGATTGAAAGGTTAGAGCGATGTGGATGGGGCCCCACTGGCCAGCACTATCCTGGATATTTGTTCCAGGTTCTCCCTTAGGGAGCCGTGTAAAAAACGCACTGTAATCTGATTCCTTCAGGTCATCCAAGTTAAGGGCACAGTGTGGAGGTCATTCCTTTGTGGTCCTGAGGCCTGATTGTGTTTGTACAAGATTCCTTGCTCTGGGCCTCCCCCTAGGTTAACCATGGAAGCTCCGGTCAGTCCTACATTGCCCTGGGCCTAGCTAAGCCTTGGCTGGGTCATTGAAAACCAGTTGTGAGCCTGGAGGGCTGTCCCCTGAAGGTGAGGGTAGAGGCCAGCAGCTCCTAGCTTCCACCTGGGGTGTGGTCTCTGTTCTCTGGCACTTCAGCCCTAGATAGTGCATGGGCCACACAGGACATATCGGGACTCAGTCTCTCGCTGCCCAGCTTTCTTGGTCTCTGCCTCATTGTGGCTGTGGCTGGGGTGATGTGATGGCCTGTCACCTAGCAGAGCTTCTGGGGCAGGTAGAAAGGACTGGTGGAAGGCGGGAAGTGTTCAGCTTCAAAGTTACTTGTCTCCAGTTATTTCCCGCTGCCCTCAGAGCTGGGAAGAGGCCTGGCGCTTCTGTATGCTACACAAAGATTGCAAAGCACGCACGCCCTTTCCTGTTTTGTTGACTCTTTTCCTCACTATTGCACTTTCTCTGTCACACTCCTGTGCCTGGAATGCGTGGTTGCCCGTCTGGGCTGTGAGGGTCAAAGTGGAGAGGAAACTAATCAGAAATGCCCATTGTCTCTGTCAGCAAAGTGCAAGGTGGTGATCACCTTCAACCAAGGACTGCGGGGAGGGCGCGTGGTGGAGCTGAAGAAAATAGTGGATGAAGCCGTGAAGCACTGCCCAACCATCCAGCATGTCCTGGTGGCTCACAGGACGGACAACAAGGTCCAAATGGGGCCTCGGGATGTCCCCCTTGAGCAGGTGGGTTTACCGCGCTTTGTGCAGTTTGATGGGGAGAGATTATTATTGGGTTAACTGGGTCTGAGTCCTGTCAGATTGTCCTTTTGAATCTGGGTCCCCGGAGGTGTTCAGGGTGGTATTTGATGGGCTTACATCCCAGTTGGGAAGGTGGAACTCAAAGACCACAAGCACAGTGAAACAGCTAATGTAGCAGCAATGATTGGATTCGGCCTTTTATTTTGTGTTTTCTCTGCATCTGGAGTTGAACTCGGGCAGGCCAGAGAAGATGAGCTCTGATGCAGTCTGCCGGGTCACAGCAGCTGGGGAGAGGTGTTCTCGGGGAAGCCGAGTGGAGGGGAGAGGCTAACTGGATGGGGCTGGTTTTGTCTCCCCCGTACAGGAAATGGCCAAGGAAGACCCTGTGTGTGCCCCAGAAAGCATGGGCAGCGAGGACATGCTCTTCCTGCTGTACACCTCCGGGAGCACTGGGATGCCCAAGGGGCTCGTGCACACCCAGGCAGGCTACCTGCTGTTTGCTGCCCTGACGCACAAGGTATGGCCTTGGTGGTGGGTGGAAGATGGGAGGTGCTCACCTCCCTGGTGGGATTGGGCGGGGGGCCAGGTGGGGCTGGATTTAGGGCTAGGACTTCTCTTGCTATAAAGCAGTGCCCGTGGGTGTGAGGGGCTCATGTTTTCCCGCAGTGTGCTCGTGAGCAGGGCAGCTGTGAGTCATGGCACAAGCCCAATGGAGTGGGTTGGAAGGGGGCACATAGTCTTGTTTTTCTGTAAGAGTCCAGGTCCCAAGCCTGAGTCTCACTGCTGGTTTTTTAGCCCTTTGCCTATGTGCCTGTGTTGTATATTGGTTTGAAAACCTGCAGGAATTGGGCCCTTACCAGCTCTGACACACTCACGGGCAGGGTCTCATTCTGATGCTCAGGACCAAGACACTTTGGCCTTCTTGGGCACCCTTCTTGTATAAAAAAAATATCAAAAAATACAACAGTGTTGGTATAAGGATGAATATATTACTATTATATATTAAAACATTTTTTTTTTTTTTACTTAAAAGATCACTTTTGCCTCCTGATCTTAAGAGAAAGTAAAACATTTTCATGGCCTCTAAAACTATCATGACCTCTAAACCCTGCTCATTGGGACCATATTTTAAAATTTACTTTTATAATGAAACTTAAATTTAGTACATGGAAATTATATTACGGTGGGCCATCTTCGGGATTAGAAAGCGGCCGCTATGACACATTTTTTTATTCCAGTCAGTTTAGAAATGAGTATCATTTAAATGTTGGTGGGTGATTGCAGTTTACCATGGCATCCCCGGTTGCCTGGGGAAGCGGCTGGCACTTTCCAGGTGGGACATACCATCTATGGGCCAGACCCTCTCTGTTGAAGGAGGCAAAACTCAGCTCCAGCAGGTGCCAGCGGTAAAGGGAAGCGTCTGGCCAGGTGACTAGAAAGTCCCAGCCCATCGAATCAGGCTGGGACACAGCCCTGGGTAGTGGTATCTTCCCTGCCTCAGCCCTCCTCTCTGCCCACCAGGCTCCCAGCCAGGCTGTCAACTTGGCTTCCCCAGGGGCCAGAGAGGAGGCCCACAATCCCAGTCACTGTGGGAAGGGGGGGTGGGGGTGGGGGTGAAATATGCTGAGTGGCCAGGCTGGGGCACTTAGGAGGCAAACTCCGTGCAATGAAAGTGGACGAGGCCCTCGGTGCTGAACGCGCACACACAGCCTTCAAGTGGCAATGTCCAGGCCCCAGTGGCGGCCACTCACACCCAGCCTTAAGGATTTTGAAAGTGAGGCAGAAAGACAGATGTGGTACAGAGCCAGGCTGAGCATACAGTGTGTTACACTTAATACAAATCCATATTAAGATGGTTGCCTCTGGCTACTGGGTGACCTTGCACATGTCACAGAACCTCTCTAGACCTTAATGTTCTCACCTGGAAAACCCCACCCTTCCTCAGTTCCTGGAGATGGTGCAAAGATCAATATATATTGTAAGTAAAAATACTTTGGAAAATATAAACACTGAGTCAAAATACCAAGAAAGTCACAGAATGAATCACATTGTTTCCATCAGTTTTTATACAATTAACATTCTGGAAGTTAAGGTGAGAGATTCTTATTTTTTTTGCATTTCCAAAGTGCTTTGCATTTACAGGAAACTGTCTATGTGAACAAAAGGATATAGGGATGAGGACCATCTTTTGAATTTGTTTTAGTACAATGAGATTTTTTGTTTAAGTATTAGGAATAGGACTTTTCAGCCTTCTGTAGATAAGTGTGTTTGTGTGTGTGCTCATGTGTCTGTGTGTGTGTGTGCACCTGTGTGTCTCTACGTGCACTCATTTGTATGCACATGCAGAGGATATTAGGGCAGTTGGNCCCTCCTCTCTGCCCACCAGGCTCCCAGCCAGGCTGTCAACTTGGCTTCCCCAGGGGCCAGAGAGGAGGCCCACAATCCCAGTCACTGTGGGAAGGGGGGGTGGGGGTGGGGGTGAAATATGCTGAGTGGCCAGGCTGGGGCACTTAGGAGGCAAACTCCGTGCAATGAAAGTGGACGAGGCCCTCGGTGCTGAACGCGCACACACAGCCTTCAAGTGGCAATGTCCAGGCCCCAGTGGCGGCCACTCACACCCAGCCTTAAGGATTTTGAAAGTGAGGCAGAAAGACAGATGTGGTACAGAGCCAGGCTGAGCATACAGTGTGTTACACTTAATACAAATCCATATTAAGATGGTTGCCTCTGGCTACTGGGTGACCTTGCACATGTCACAGAACCTCTCTAGACCTTAATGTTCTCACCTGGAAAACCCCACCCTTCCTCAGTTCCTGGAGATGGTGCAAAGATCAATATATATTGTAAGTAAAAATACTTTGGAAAATATAAACACTGAGTCAAAATACCAAGAAAGTCACAGAATGAATCACATTGTTTCCATCAGTTTTTATACAATTAACATTCTGGAAGTTAAGGTGAGAGATTCTTATTTTTTTTGCATTTCCAAAGTGCTTTGCATTTACAGGAAACTGTCTATGTGAACAAAAGGATATAGGGATGAGGACCATCTTTTGAATTTGTTTTAGTACAATGAGATTTTTTGTTTAAGTATTAGGAATAGGACTTTTCAGCCTTCTGTAGATAAGTGTGTTTGTGTGTGTGCTCATGTGTCTGTGTGTGTGTGTGCACCTGTGTGTCTCTACGTGCACTCATTTGTATGCACATGCAGAGGATATTAGGGCAGTTGGTTTCTTTTCTTTTTTTAATGTCTTTATTGATTTCAGAGAGAGGAAGGGAGAGGGAGAGAGAGAGATAGAAAATCAATGAGGAGAGAATCATTGATCAGCTGCCTCCTGCATGCCCCCTACTGGGGATCGAGCCTGCAACCTAGGCATGTGCCCTGACCAGGAATCAAACTGCGATCTCCTGGATCATAGATCAATGCTCCACTGCTGAGCCATACCAGCCAGGCTAGGGCAATTGGATTGTTCAGGGAAAAGGACAGTTAATTCTGAAGGGTTGATGGGGTGTGAACTGATTTTGGCCGTGTGCAGTGGGGTCAGGGCACCAGCTGCCTGCTGGGCCCTCTGAAGAATGGCTTGCCCCAGGGACCAGCTCTCCTTCCAAGAACTGCAGGGAAAGAAATCTCCAGCCCCTTGAAAGACTTGACAATTTGGATTCGAGTTGAATTAAAAATCTTTTTAGTTCCCAAATACTGTGGGGTTTTGGAATGTGAGTGTCCTGATGTACCAGAGCAGTGAAAGAGCAGTCTTTCCCTTGAAAGAATCCACCCTCGCTCAGACATGACTCCACGGGGACCTAGACATGTCCAGACCACCACTGTGCTGTCTGGGAACTCCTGGAGAATCTCGGTATTTGTCTTTGGCAGAAGACTGGACCTAATTTTTTAAAAATGTTGTTGCAAAATAGAATATATACAGAAAACCATCCAAATCAAATGTGTGGCAGACTCACTTCATTCAGGAAATGAAGCCCTTTCATAGCCTGTCCACCCTCAGCCTCCTCCCCACATCCTGACGTCTACAGCATCACTGTCTTGTGTCTTCCTTTCTCTAGTTGTCACCTGGATGTGCATCCCTAGGTCCTGCAGCTTACTCTTGCTACTGCCATTTTTTGATATGTCTTTTAAGCATGTTTAAACTTATAGGTGACCCTCCATCCCTTCCATGTCCTTAAACTTAGTTGCAGCACCTGGTCATTTGTCCCTCTGTCCTCTGTTTCCTGCAAAGAGCATTTAGATCCAGAGACGGGATCAGGCTCAGGTTGGACCCTTTGGCAAGAATGCAGGAGACATCCATGTCTGAGGCTCTTAGAAGCTAATGATGCTTGAGACATTTGTTGGCCTTTTTTACTTTAATATTTTTGCAGTTTTTAAGGGATTCAAAAGATTGTGGCATAACTTTTCCTGGCCAGGTAACTCAGTTAGAGCTTCATCCTGTTATGCCAAGGTTGAGGGTTTGATCTCCAGTCAGGGCAAATACCAGAATCTACCAATGAATGCATAAATAAGTGGAATGACAAATCACTGTTTCTCTCCTTTCCTTCCCCTCTCTCTCTAAAATCAATGAATTAAAAAAAACTACATCAATTAAAAATTTTTAAAATTATGTTATAACAATGCAGAAAGATGCCCTTATACATACCACTAGCTAAAGTTTTACCAGTGAGTACACACGAGCATGTGGCATCTTCAGCCCCTGGAAGGCCCTGACATGCCCCTCATAGGCAGTCCCCCAGCAAGACCAGCTCTAGTGTGACCTCTGCATACAGATTGAGTCTGTCAAGCTGGGGCTTATACAGTGTACACTCTGACATCTGGCTTCTTTCACTGTCCTCTGCGAGAGTCAGTGTGCTCTTGTTTGTACCAGTAACTGCCTTTTCAACTTCTCCTCTCCTCTCAGTGGCCAGTGGAGCTGCTACATTTTGTAGTTATAGAACACTCTTGACATGTGGGAACGTGGGGTCATAGGCTTCTGACAGCCTCTCCTGTTTCTGCAGCTTGTGTTTGACTACCAGCCAGGAGACGTCTTCGGCTGTGTGGCTGACATTGGCTGGATCACTGGACACAGCTATGTGGTGTATGGGCCCCTCTGCAATGGAGCGACCAGTGTCCTTTTTGAGAGCACTCCAGTTTACCCTGATCCTGGTGAGGACTGGGAACCCAAATAGGTTTCCTGGGAGGGAGCTTGAGGAAGGAGGAGAGGTTCACAGGAGGGTGGAGAAGAGGCCTGTACTCTGGCCTGGCTGTGTGGTTCATGGTCCCCTGGCATAGCTGCCAAACTGAGCTGGGGCCTTGTCCATAATAAGATCAGATGAGCAATAGAAGGGAGCTAATTTGGTACTGGAAGCTGTCTCAAGACCGCCCACTCCAGCGTTCTTCAACCTAAACTGCCTGCCTCGGGCCTTCACCTTAGCACTGCTCTTCTTACCTCTATGGCCTCCTGACCAGATCCAGCCCTTGCTCGAAGCCCAGACCAACTGCCAGCCTCCTCAGGACCCCCAGATGAAGAGGGCTTTCTACTGCCTGCTCCTTGTGCCTTTAAGGCTGTTCCATCAGAGTGTGTCACGTGTGGCCTTGAGCCACCTCCATGAACTGATTCCACTTGGAGGACGTGGCTGTGTCTCACCTTGGCATCTTCCTCCCACTCAGCACAGTGTCACCAACTATTTGTTTTAATGTAATCCAGGGGTGGTGGCCCTGCCAGAAGGCTCTTCCCAAGCATCCCACAGAGCTGACAATTATGTTTGTGGGATGTCTTTGTCACCTCCCCTTGCTCCTCTCCACCCTCCCAGTGGGGCTGCATGCTCTTTAAGACTATGTAGGGACATAGCTGGGGATTAAGAGCCATGTCTTAGGTGCAGTCACTTCAACTGTTTGAAGCGTGGCTTCCCGTGTGCAGAGTAATGGTGGTGAGTTGGGGGAGGTGGTTAATGGGAAGTGAGGTGAGTACATGCAGGGCAGTTGCCCTGGCCCCTGGGACACATGCATTCGTGGCCTGTTTGCAGTAATCCAGGGGAAGCACCAGTCACCACTTTAGAGACCATTTAAATGCAACTGAACGCAAGTTCTATGTTAATGCTACATGGGTGATTTTTAAGTACACAGTAACATATTTTTAACTGATTCCTCACTATATCATATGGGGTACACTATGTGGGTGCAGCTGTCCAGAGCCAGGTGGAGGCTTTTCACAAACGGGCCACCCTGTAGATGGGGGTGTGCCAGGGGACGACTGCCTCAGGGAACCCTTTCGCGGAGGTCTCCCTTCTCATCTGGGTGTTGGGTGATGAATCCTGTTTTTGTAAACAGTGGAGGTATTTGCATATATCCAGGACCCAGTATTGTTGACTGACCCCTAAATTAGGTTGAAATAGATACCGTCTGGTGGGTCTCAGACTGACTGAATTGGGGTCTTTTTGTAGGTCGGTATTGGGAGACAGTGCAGAGGTTGAAGATCAATCAGTTCTATGGTGCCCCGACGGCTGTCCGGCTCTTGCTAAAATACGGCGACACCTGGGTGAAGAAGTATGACCGCTCGTCCCTGCGGACTCTGGGGTCAGGTGAGCACTGCTCTGTAGCTGGAGGGGGTGTGTGTTTTGTCTGTCAGAGCCACTGCAGGCTTCTAAATGGTTGTAATCATCAAAGCTGTGTGGCCATGTCTGTGGTGAATTCAGACAATGCCAGGCCACATCGAGTAGGAAGCAGAGGCCTGGCAGCCCCGCCTCAGAGCCCACAGCAGTTAACAGTGTGGGGCACAGCACTCCAGACACTTTCTGTGCCCATCCTTACGGGTTCATCCTTATTATGGCCTGAGCACTTTCTTCGGTGGCTGCGTGGGATTTCCTGTGGAAGTCAACTGCTGTTCACTGAGCATTCTCCTGTGCTGGGCCCCGATTATTTCCAAGCGCTGTCATAAATGTCAATGTCCTGTGCACTGCTCTCACCATAGATATTCCCATGCAGGTAGTTGCAAGATCAACGGTTATCTCCATTTTTAGTTTTAACAGAGGTTGCCAAGGCCACGGAAGCTTTGGGGAAAGGATATGGGGTTCATTCAGAGGCTAACTGGGAGGAACTGCCTGTTCTCTCTGCTTTTCCCTGACGCGTTTCATTTCTGCCCCTACACGTGTTGCCAGGTGTGGTCAGGAGGGAAAACAAGGCGGGAGGCCCTCCATGCTCCTTGGTGGATACACAGATCTGCTTGGTGGTTTTTCCTGGGATGTGTCTTTCTACCAGTTTTGTCCATGGAAGAGGTAGCTTGGTGATGGTGTGCACACGATACTTGTCACTGATGAGGGTGAGCAGTGCTGGCACAGGACTTAGGGCCCTGGTTCACTCTGCCCCCCTTACCTGCAGTGCCCTGCTGCCCCCTCCAGCCTCAAGTCCCCGACCCTCCTTCAAGGCCTCTTCTGTGCTGTTTCTCCTGGGGATTTCCTTGGCTGCTGTGGAACTTGGGCTGTCGGCTCTCAGACCAACTGTGTTTCATACCTGGGCAGGGCCAGCTTGGTGCTGGTCTCGTGCTGTGGTCATAGCTCAGGACCATTCTAGGCGGCTGGATTAGCCCTCACAGCACTTCAGCCTTTGGGTATGTTGGCTTCTTTTACTCTTACCAGTCAGCAGAATCTAGCTCACTCAAGACTTCTACCCCAAGATACATATTTCTTAAGAAAATTTTTTAACTTTCAATTTTATAAGTAACACAGGTATAATCTTATTATAAAAAGCAAAACTCGGTACTTTGCAGTGAAAGCTGAAGTCCTCCCTAGCACATTCTTCAAAGTTATATTCCTGTGCAAACACACAGCTCAGCTTGGAGATGATTTCTTTATCATGAATGTAATTACACTGCACTAGTATAATGTTATGTTTATTTTAACTCAGCAATAGCCAGAGCTTCCCATATGGCTCTGAGAACTTGCTCAGACCCTCCTGTGGGGATTGACATGGTCCTTGTAGTCACATCCCTGTGGTTGGCTATTGTGGCCATTGGCAGTTTCCCAGTATCAACCAGTGCTGCAGTGGCATCTTCCTGCCTCGTTGTGGGCATAGGTGAGTGTAGAGGCAATACACACAAAGCTCAGCCACCTGGGTGACCAGCATGGGGGACCCCAGTCAGGACAGGCCTTGGTTAGCTCCTACATCATGGGTGGTCCCAAGCAAAAGGCAATCAGCGTGAGAGTATTTCAGTATTTTAGCAACAGTGAGTAATAACCTGCAAGTTCTGGCTGAATGCTAGTCTGGTGTGGGTGTTTCATTAGTGTAGTGTCTTAGTGCTAGGATTTGGACATAAATCTGGGAGGCATACACATTCGGAACGCAGGAGGTTAACAATAGTCCTAGGGCATAAACACTTTCCCCTTTTCTACTGAGGTATAAAATGTAGTGAAATGCACAGATGTCAGGTGTTCAGCCTGAGAACTATTTACATGTATAAATATATTGCCACATGCAGATCAGGCCATAGAAATTTCCAGTCCCGCCCTGGCCGGTTTGGCTCAGTCGTTAGATCACCGGCCTGCGGACTGAAGGGTCCCAGGTTCGATTCCGGCCAAGGGCAGGTACCTCGGTTGCAGGCTCGATCCCCAGCCCCAGTCGGGGTGCGTGCGGGAGGCAGTCAATCAGTGTGTCTCTCTCACAGGGATGTCTCTCTCTCTCTCTCTCTCTCTCTTTCCCTTCCACTCTCTCTGAAAAGCAGTGGAAAAAGTATCCTCGGGTGAGGGTTAAAAAAAGAAGAAGAAATTTGCAGTCCCCAGAGGCCCCCTTAAGCCCTTCCCAGTCGGGAGCCCTCACCTGCCCACTGCTTGGCTGCTGTCCGCGGGGAGGACTCGCTTGTTCTGCCCACGGGCCTGTGCCGCGTGCGCTGCTCTGGTGCCTGCCGCGAGTGCTGGGGCCGTGACTCTGAGGCTCCCCCCGTCGGTGTTGGGGTCGTGGCGGCTCAGTCACCTCCACGCTTATGGTATTTCACTGCATAAATACACCACAGTGTATTTCTCCGTTCCGCTCTCAGTGGGTAGTATTTTAGTTTTTGGCCACTGTGGACATTCTCGTTTGAATCCATTTTGGGTGAACACAGGCACTCGTTTTTCTGGAGTGTGTGTCAGGAGTGACAGTTTTGCGGACAAAGATAAACCTACGTTATCCTTAGGGTAATCTTCCCCAAACAGTAGACCAAAGTGGTTGTATAGGATGTACACGCTTTTAAATATTAAGAGAAGTAGTCAAATTGCTCCCCAAAATTGCTGTACCAAATTACACTCCTACAGTACATGTGCTATTCTTTCCCCTACATTCTTGTCATTTTTTAAAAATTTTTTATACTTGACCGTCCAGTGGTGAAAATATCTCATTTAGTTTGTATTTCTTTGATGGCCATAATGTGACTGCTCTCACTGCTTTCTCAAACCTCCTTTTATGTCTCTCAGGAAAATTATAGAGCTGTTTTGCCATAACAATCTATTCCTTTTGGTTTCAGGTTTATTCAGGTCTATTAATATCGTTTTTTCTTTTGTGTGTGATTTCAGTGGGGGAACCAATCAACCGTGAGGCCTGGGAGTGGCTCCACAATGTGGTGGGGGACAGCAGATGTACGCTGGTGGACACCTGGTGGCAGACAGGTGAGAGCGTCTCCCAGAAGAGGGTCGGGGTGCACTTGGGAACCAGGCACGGGGCTCGCAGGGGGGTCTTTCCCTCAGTCGCTATCCTCTCCTGTTAGTGCCCTGAGCACACGCGGCCCAGTGCCCAGTGTGAAGGGCCAGGCGTGAGGCTGTGTGGATGCAGATCCGACCCCACTAACGCCTTGGCCCCGACACAGCTGGTTGTTGCCAACCTCAGCGGTGGAGCCTGGCTTTGCAGCTGTGCACTTAGGGTGTGTGGTGGCTCCTCTGAGACGCAGTTTTCCCCTCTGTAAAGCGGGGTGCCCCCCCCAGGCTCAGTATGAGGATGGATGAGATGATACTGTCCACTTGGGGTGCCCCAGACCCGGCGTAGTAAGTGCTCAGCGAAGATTCACTGTCCTCCGAAGGGCCACTTTCTGAGTGCAAGTGTGAGGATGAGCCTGCTGTTTAAGGGGGTTGGTAGGTCTAAATCTAAATTTTAGTGGGAAATTTTAGTAGGAGTTTTCTGTGGCGTTCTGTTTGGATTTGCCTCCTCTTCTCTTAGTATCTGACTTATTAGGATGCTTGGAGCAGGAGACCACCACTGATGTAGCTGAGGTCCTGGCTTTCCAGAAGCCAAAAAGTGGGACGTTCTGAGTGGCTCAGGTCTCATCCATTCAGGAGGGCTCAGGATTGAGATTACAGCTGAGTCCCATGAGGTGTTTTCCATGCAGGCTGACAGAGGGAAGCGCCAGGGAGATCATGTGGAAACAGAATTTGTGGCCATCTGTTGTTGTTGTTTGGGGCACTGGTCCAGAAGCAATTCTTCATCTTCCTGTGCACCTACATGGGCTCCACCTTTCCATTGCAGTGAGGGCTGGACAAACAGGGCCTTGGAGGAGGAGAGGCAGCACCCACTGGGCTGTGAAGCCACGTCACCTGGGACTGAGCCCTCTGCCGGGGCCCCACTCCCATTCCACAGTGGAGGAGACCAGAATCCAAGTCCAGCTTTGCCTCAGAGAAAAGTCCTTGTGACAGTGGGTGCCGTTTCCTTTCCCCAAATTGGCAGTTCTGCCCACCTCCCACTCTTGGAGAGCACCAGCTGGAGTGTCTGTCCCAGATTCTTGATGGCCTGGCTTGGATAAACACGTCACTGGCCCCGTGGCCCATCAGCATTTCTTCCCTGTCATCCCCATAGAAACAGGTGGCATCTGCATTGCACCACGGCCCTCGGAGGAAGGCGCAGAAATCCTCCCCGCCATGGCGATGAGGCCCTTCTTTGGCATTGTCCCAACTCTCTTGGATGAAAAGGTGTGTAAGGGCCTCACAGAGGTGACTCTCTCCTCCACGTGCACCCCACTGAGCACCTGGTGTTTCTTTCTGCCTTCCTGGCCCCCTTTGCCCACTCACCCATGTCACACATGCCCGGGGTCTGGCAGGAGGTGAGAGGGCTTGTGTCCTCATGCAGCGTGCACTGCAGAGTCTCCTCTTAGAGACACAGCGGGTACAGTCCCCATGTGGGGTGACCCCAGGTTCTCCTCAGAAGCCCTCTTGAGGAGTATTCCTTGCAGAGGAGAAAGCTCTGGACAGATCCTTTGGGGCACGCTTCTCATTTTTCTGTCTCAAGCAAAGCAGTGAGGAGAGCGATATTGTCAGTTGTTTCCTTCTCAACCAGAGCCTGTCCATATTTTCAAAATCATGTCTCCCCCGGTCTGCAGGGAAACGTTGTGGAGGGCAACGATGTGTCTGGGGCTCTGTGCCTCTCACAGGCCTGGCCAGGAATGGCCAGGACCATCTACGGAGACCACCAGAGATTCATGGACGCCTACTTCAAGGCTTATCCAGGTGAGGTGGCCAACGTGAGTGTGTGGTGCCTTCCCACACACTACTGGAACCTTGTTCTCAGAAAACCTTTCTAAGGTAATGGTGACCATGAGTGTACGTAGTGCAGGTTCAGAGCAGGCACTTTGGAGGCATGAGTTTGAGTCCTGCTCCCTCCCTTCCTCTTTAGCTCCCTGACTTTATGTCTCAAATGGGAAAAGACTCACTGAAGGAACATCGTGGGGTTAAGTGGGAGGGCATGCAGGGCCCTGAGCATGGCCCACGGTGCATCCTCTTTAGGCTCTTAGGAAAACTGTCGTGATGGCTGGAAGTTTTCCTCTGGCTTCCTTTTCCCCCCAGTTGGCTTTTGTGTCATTGGGTTGGAAGTTTACATATACAGCATAACTATTGGAACCCATTATCTTAAGTCTCAAGCCTGTAAATAAGACACACTTTGGGGGAAGCTTGAGTGCACTCATTCTAAGTCTTCTGCTCCCAAGACATCTGCAGTCTTGATTGCATTCTGTTTTCAGAGCCATCTACCCCTTCACTAGCACACAGCCAGATGGCACATGTAGACAGTGTGTCCATGAGGGGTTGAAGGAGGGCCAGCAGGCAGGATGGCAGCAGAGTGCAGGGCTTCAGAGCTTTCTTCTGTAGAACAAGGTTGGGACATGGGTCTCTTACGGAAGGACAAGAGTCCTGCTGGGTCTGGCTCGGCGGTGCTGGGTCTGAATTCCCTCATTGTGGAACAGGCTACTACTTCACTGGAGATGGAGCTTACCGAACCAAGGGAGGCTATTACCTAATCACGGGGCGGATGGATGACGTCATCAACATCAGTGGCCACAGGCTGGGGACGGCAGAGATCGAGGACGCGCTGGTGAGCACAGGCTGTGTTAGCCTCAGATTGGGAGCTGTAATTGCGGTGGTGTCAGGTATCCCACCTCCCACATATTTTGCCTTTATATTCTGTTCTGTGCAGGCCAGCCACCCCGCAGTGCCCGAGACTGCTGTCATTGGCTGTCCCCACGACATCAAAGGGGAAGGTGAGTGCCACAGAGGAACTCCTCTGGTCTCGCTCCCATCACAACACCTCTCTAAAAAGAACAGACTCTGGAGGATGGGTGGCAGGGTGTTTGTGGGTGAAGCTATTGGTTTTTGTCTCTTTGAAGTGTAGATTTTGGGTGAGGAGGCAGAATGGCATGCCTGTGAGACTAAGGTGAGATTTCTGAGATGCCCTAGCTCTCCTGTCCGTGAAGGACACTCATCCACAAGCAGCCCTGAGCTCTTTGGCTCCAGCTGAGCTTGGGGACTTTGCTTCTCTGTCCATGGTGACTCTGGCAGCACCATTACAGAGGACTTATGAAATGCCCTGCCCTGCTCACAGTGTCTCCTTGCACATGCCCGTGCACGGCTTCCAGTGCCAGCTCTACTGCTACGCTGGCAGATCAGCGTGTGCTCTGCAGTGTACTCTTTTGCGGCTCTTGAGCTCTTTTTAGAGGGATTTGACCTGTGGTTCCCACTGCACAGTGACACACGGAGGGGATTGCAGAACAAGCGATCAGCATTGTCTTCTTTACCGAGGACACACTTTGTTCCAAAGTCTGCCAGTTCCTGAGCAGGTGGGCGTGGGAAGGGACAGGGTGACCTGAGTGTTATAATGCCAGGTGCACAGTGGCCACACCAGCCTGGCGTGACCTGGAGACTCACTGATCCTGTGCTGCACTGCTGGGTGGACTGGCCTCTGCTGCCCTGCAAAGTGGTCTGGGATCTGGCACTCTTCCTCCTGCTGTCAGAGACATTCTGTGCCAAATGTGTCCCAATGGTCACCTGCCACTGTTCCATTATTTACTCAACCCTTTCTCTAAATTGGGCCATTGTAAAAATTAATATTTACTTCAGTACTCTAAAAAAAAACATGCTCAGTTTTTACGAGAAGGATTTTCCCATGAGGCTGCCTTCTCTTTGTTAACGGGATTGGGATATATGGGGGGCTATTAGGGATCAGAAGGGGGTGGAGATGGGAACCGGTCTTCATGTGTGACTCTCAGAGGCCTGGGACACTTCATGCTCCCATAAGCAGCTCTCAGCACCGCTTCCTGGCGTCCTACGGGACTCTGATGTTGCCAGGCCCTTTAATGTCTGCCAGGCTGGTGGGGGAGAACTGCACATAATGAGCATGAGGATACGAATATTTCTGATTTCTTACAAAACTGAGCATCTGTCCATTTGTAATGTATAACCCATTAACTATTCTTGGCAAACTCTACGGCCGTCTGCCAAAGCTTTGTGCCTTTAAAGTCCCCGTTCTCTCTATACTTGCTCTGACCTAAGTGCTGTGCCTCTGCCATGGGCCTGCCTCCCCAGTCCCCGAGTTCAGCCCATTTCTGCTCAGAATTCAATCCAGGCTCGTTTTATTGCCATCTCATTACAGGTACAAGCGACTTGCGGGGAAGGGTGCCAATTAGAGACGGGGAAGCACACAGGGCAGCTTGTCCAGTGTGATCCCTCTAGGGTTTAACAGACGGCAGTATATACCCAGAAGTTAACTTGAAAATTTGGGTCTGGGAACAGCTGCCAGAAGCCCCTGAGAACCTGCGCCTTGTGGGTTTTGTACAGGGGCTGTCACCATTTAATCCTGGCACATAGCCATGACACGGGTACTGTTAGCTCCCCAGGTTACAAGTAGAAAACTGGCACAGAGTGGTTAAGTGGCTTCCTCCCAGGTAGCAAGGCCACACAGCTAGCAAGTGGCAAAGCCAGGATATGGAGCAGGAGCAACCTCTTCTACCCATCATTCTTCACGGCCTTTAAGGGGAGGAATGAAAGGAGAGAGACAGGGCGGGAGGTGCAGTTATATTTTATATACTTCTGCGGTGTTTTAATTTTGGTAATCAGTGTGTGTTGCTTTGGTGGTTTTAAGTTTTTCATTAAATCCATAATAAACATCTCAGTGGGCCTACCCAGCCAGCTCAGGTGTTAAGCTTTGTCCCTTTCCTCTGAGCCCCTGTGGTTTGGGCCTGGACTTTTGAAATCTCAAATACCGAGAGGAGAGAAAAATGCAGCCCTTCCCCTCAAAGATCTCACAACCTACTGAGGAGGGACCAGCAACTGTTGCCACATGACAAGTGCCACAGCTGCATTCGTGGACAGAATCAGAAAGGCTTCACAGAGTGCAAGGTAGCTGAACTGGGTTTTGAGGGATGAATAGGAGTTTGCCAGGTGGAAATGGGGGGAGGCTTTCAGGCAAAGGCTGTCAGTTTCTATAGATTGTCGCTTATACAGGAAAGTCATTCATTGATGCAGTTAACAAACATTTGTTGAGCACCTACTATATTCTAGGCACAGTTGTAGATACTGAGACACAGCAGAGAGTGAAAGAGACAGAAGTTCCTGCTCCCTAGAGCTGACATGCTGTGGAGGTTAGGGGTTAGAGGAGAGAGAGACATAAACAATAAACATGATTAATGAGGAAACTACAGAGTATGTTAGATGATATGTGCCAGAAGGAGAATTCATTAAGATGAGATGGAAATGGTATAGCAATAAACATAGAGGTGAACAATAAGGGCTGCACGTATATAAAAACTTTGTGTATGAGAGAGGGGGACATTGCAGGTCAGTGAGGGAAAGGACAGACTGTCCCAGATGGTGCTGGGACAGGTGACTGCTCATGTGCACAAAAAATTGAATTAGATCCTGATGTCATACCATATATAAGATTATCCCAGATAAATTGAAAAGAAATGCATTTAGAGATCTGTGGGAGCCACTGTAAATCTTTTCTGGAACATGGTAGGATATTGACAAAGTGTCTGTGCTAAAGTATGGGATGGCCATTGTCACTCAACAGACTTTCTGCTATGACGGAGCTGTCCGTCCTGTGGCTCGTGTAACCAAGGAACTGCATTTTTAACTTAATTTAAATTTAGTTGTGCACTGTGGCTAGTGCTTACAATGTTGGACACATACGCACAAAGTTAGTGCCACGTGCAGTGTTCCCTTGTACCATGTCATGGGAGCTGATAGCAAATTTCCTATGACCCATGTTACAGGCTATTTCACAGGTGCTAGCACAGTTAATGAGGCTAGGTCCTGTGTTCAAGGTCACACACACAGCCAGGCAACACCAGAGCCACGGCGCCAAGCTCTCACCCACACTTGCCCACCCACCTGGGACATTCAGAGGAACTGACAGAATCGCCTTTCCCTTGCAGTGCGGACGATATGCATCTTCATGGATGCAGCTAAAGAGACCAACTGCAGCAAGGTCATCGACATATGATTTGAAATCCTTTGAATTTATGGTGATTTGTGTACAACACTCTGGCTAATACATCCCAAAATCTTGCTCTCCTTTCAGTTGCATTTGCCTTCATCGTGTTGAAAGATGGTGCAGGTGACTCGGATGTGGTGCTGAGCGAGCTCAGGTCCACAGTGGCCACCAAGATCGCCAAGTACGCTGTGCCCGATCAGATTCTGGTGAGCGGACTTATGCCTCTGGTTCGACTGCACTGCTCACCTCTGCCTCCTTCTCCACTTCCCAGAACTAACATCGCAGCGAAACTGACACTAGCTGTTTCGTTTCCTGGGGTAGATGAGGGTGGCAGGTGGCTGTATTGTCAGAGAGAGAGGGAGGGGGGCAGGGAGATATAGCAGCATGAATTTGAATAGTGGCTCTCCTGTGGAGGGGGTAGTGCTGGGCAAGATCGGATGCTCTCTTACTTTGGCTGGTTACAGGAACCGAAGAAAATTAGGGAATTTAAATGGAGAAACATGTGGAAAGTACCAGAGTTCTTCAGCCCCTGTGTGGTTTCTGAATACCTTTTCAGTGCCAGCAGAGAGATGTCACCAGACCTTATCTGCGGGAGCCTGTGTTGGAGTAGTTTCGTGGAAGAATTGGGCCACCCTGTCAGCCCCTTAGCTTTTCATTCCTTCCTTTGTTCACATTTCCCCCATGGTGTTCCTTCCTTTGGAAGTGGTCCTCTGAAGCCTCACTTGGTGTGGCACAAGGTCATAGTGTTGGCCTGGGGACCAGAGTTTCAGGAAGACCTAAAGTCTCCCTCGATGAACTGAACTCTTTCAAAAGATAGGTCATTATTCAAGTGCCCAAATGCAGCTCCTAATGTGTACTGCCATTGACCTGGAATGGGTTGTGGCTTTTTGAAAATGTGAAATGCTAAATTTTCACACACTAGCCAGACAACATTTTTTTCTCTTAAGTAGCTCTCACCTCATATACAAGACAAAACCAACCCAGACCCAGTCCCGGGAGTGGAGACGAGGTGCTGTGGCACGTGTTTGGTTCTGTTGCTACCTGGGCGCCGTCACTAATGTAGCTTATGGGAGAAACAGGTGTCAGCAGTGAGGTGAACCCAGGTACAGGTGAACCCTCGCCTGGTGGAGGCTTCAGCATGACTTGCAGTTGAGTCTGCCCTTTGGGTTCATCCAACTTCAGGTCCAGGTTGTAGGTGGATGAAACCAGAGACCATAGGCCTCAGGATCCCCTGGGAAGAACCCCTCTTATGTCAGTGCAGTCAGACACTGGCTGGGAATGTGGGCAGCACCTGAGATTCTAATATTGTTCCCCTTCCTTGCCAGATAGTGAAACGTCTTCCAAAGACTCGGTCTGGAAAAGTCATGCGAAGGCTCCTGAGGAAGGTAATCACAGACAGAACTCAGGATCTGGGGGACACCACCACCCTGGAAGACCCCAGCATCATCACAGAAATCCTGAGTGCCTACCAGAAGCACAAAGAAAAGAGGGCTGCTGGTCAGTGATGGGCTGTGACCAAGACCCAGTGCCCACGCCCTTAACTTAAGGCCTTCTAGAACACAGTTCTCAGTCGGCTTGTTTTCAGATGTCCCGGAGTAATCCCCTCCCAGCACATAACCCACACTGTCCCTAAGGTGAAGTCCATGCTAAACTCCCTTCCTGCTTTGTGTGGGAGAACCCACGCACGGATACTATCAGACGTGGTTAGTGTTTGTTCCACTTGTCCTGAGTTTGGTTTCCTTGAATGAAAAGTCCCTGTTGTCTGTTTCTGTGCCCTCTCCAGACTACACAGGAGGGTGAAAAACCTGGTAAAGTGTGACTGCTCAGATAACTGAGAAATAGAAGCAGTTATGTTTTTTCCTGATGTTTCTAGATATAAAAGGCAGATATTTTATTTTTGTACTTTCATATTTTGGAATAACGTGCAAACACACGTGGAAGGTGTGGATTTCCTTGTACGTACTCTTTGTGACATTTAGTTACAAAAATCTCCTTGTCTGCCTTTGCTCGTGGTGAAACGTGGAGAGGGTCGAGGGTGCACTTGTAATTATTGTTTGGCATATTTGGAAATCTGAATTGGAAGTGTTTGCACCTCAGTCTAAACAGAGCTCTCTCGAGAATGCTCGAGACTGCTGCATCCTTTTTCCTTTTTGATATAAATTTCTATTTCTCTTGGTTTGTGTATAATTGAAACCCAACTTGTAAAGTGGTGGCATGAATGTGCTCACCTTTTAGTTCTAAAGCTTCTCCAGTCACATGTTCTTTTTCTCCAAGCTGTGATCTGGAAAGATTTCCCCCTCCCGACCTTGGATACCACTTGGTAGGAGGTGAGCATGCTCCAAATTTGTGGGGTGGTTCAGGGAAGCCAGTGAAAACTCAGGTAACGTAGAGCACTACCGTAGAAGGAGGTCCATGCAAACTGCCTGTCCTTCATTCTGTCGTTGGGCATAAGAACCACAGAGGGCCAGGGATGAGAGCTGGAGCTCTGAATCAAGTTTCTTTCTCCCAAAGTGCCTTAAGTCCCCTGAGGTTAGCAAGGTGATATAAACCATCGAGTCACGCAGTGTTTACTTATTACCAAGCATGCCAGGGGTGATGGTGGGGAGCACAGGGGAAGGGAGCCTGCTGAGTCAGATCCTTGAGGACACGGAAAGGTCATCCTTGTCCTTACCTCACAGCCTACGGTGCCTTGCGCTTGTGCAGGTATTCAAGGGGTGTCTGGCGGACTGAATACTTACTGGGGCCTGCAGCTGTGCTGGCATCCTGTCCCCTGGCCACTCAACGCTATCAGGTGATTAGGCGAGTACATCTGTGCCACCCAACGGGGTGGCCATTGGCTGTCGCATACAGATATTCTGAGGGATGGTGCGTTGCTCCAGTGCTTAGCCACAGGGAACCATGCACCTGGACCTGTCACATCTGTGGGGGGCTCGGAAGACTGCGGTTACGGCAGTATTTGTGAAATGGCTTAGATGTAAACTTGGACAGTGACCAGGGCCTCAGAATGATCTGCAGGGTGGCTCAAGTAAAGCTTTCTTTGGTTCATTCTCTTCTCTTTGTGGTGATGTTTTTGATCAAATCACGTTGCTGAATATAAGCCTAGGAACAAAATTGGAAGGGGCCTCATCACTCAGAAAGAACACACACAAAGAAGCTGTCGCCTGACGGGGAGGAAATGCAGGGAAGAGCTCACCCGTCTTAGACTTAGTCGGTAAGGTTACCTGTCTCTAGATTATTGTGCGGTCACATACACTGGTCACATGTGACTATTTAAATGTAAATGAAGACAACAGACTAGAATGGAGTGAACAGAATGGAACAGGATCAGTTCCTCCAGGGCAGGGGCCACAGCTCAGTGCTCAGGAGCCACCCGTGGTCAGCAGCTACCATATTGGACACGTGGATGGGAACATCGCAGTCATCACACAGGGTCTGGAGGGCTGACCTGGAGCACAGATGACAATGAGGACACCGAGAGATCTCTAGGCAGCTGACTGGGCGTCACAGACTGAAACGGGGCACCAACTTGCCCGGGAGCCGCCCATATGCCCAGGTGGCCTTTACACTGGCTGTGGCTGGATGAGGTTGGCCGTGTCCTTCACTAGACAGGGACAGAAGGACACCTTGAGCTGGTGCCGTGAGACGTGAGATGTGAGAGGCTGGTTTCACTCCCACGAAGCCTGAACCCACTGCTGCCTCCAGAGCAGGAGCTGGGAATGGCTGTTCCCAGGGACGGTGTTAGTTCTTGTGCCTGGAGATTGGGAAGGGAAGCTGGGGGGTTCCCAGGTGCCCACCTGAGGTAGTCTGAAAGCACAGAAAGGCAACTACTGGGAAGGACACACTCGTGCACCTCTGGGTGCTGTGGGAAGTCACAGCAGGAATGATTTTTACTGAAAAAGTCTGTATCCACACCCTGCCAGATGGGGCATTGCAAGAGGCTTACATATAGACTGTTAACAGGTTAGGTTGTCCTTACCACCCCGTCCTGGTAAAGCCGTCCTGATTTATTTGGGGGACCATCCTGTCCCCTACTTTTTTAGGTCCCCACCCTGGCTGCTGGGGGGTTTGGGGTGGATATCCCCAAAACCACGGTCCCTGGCCTAAGTGACAAGTTCATGCCTGGACGTGCAACGTAATCAGTCCCATTAGGAAGCAGACACAGGGACACCATTGGCAAAGGGGCTGTTCCCCATGTACCCACAAGACAAGACAGGACACAGAGAGGAGCTAATGTAGCCTTTAGTCATGACAGAGAAAGGCATGCCTGGGAACAGGGCAGGAGAGAAGACATGAAGCCCAGGGGAGATGCATGGCGGCCTGGCCAAGCTGTACCAGGCCCCCCCGAGCCCAGACTCCACTTCCTGCTTTGGCTTTTCTGTCTTAACTGAAACACCCTGACCAAGACCCAAGTCAGTGCGACTGAGGAGCAGAGAGAAGAGCAGGCAGCTCCAGAAAAGCAGGGAACGTATTGACCGAATTCAGAGACAGCTAATGTGAACGTTACGTACATCTCAGGACACCATGAGATGACATTCAGAATAACCCCTAAGTCCCCAAGGCAAACTGAGTCCATACTCAGAGAAGCAATGGGCAGTGCCTTTTAAGAAAAATTGTCATTTAAAGTGGCTAAAAGAATCCACAAAGCTTGTTATGCTCAAAGGGAATTCAGCTTTCAACATGATTAATTCCCAAAGGGAAATATGTTCGTATCAAATAGAAAAATTGAAAAGAGAAATCATGGCTAACGTTTGTGATGTGTAGAACATTAAAAGTAAATCACGAGCAGAGCCATCGTGGCTCAACAGGGGAGCATTGACCTATGACCCAGGAGATGGCGGTTCGATTCCTGGTCAGGGCACCTGCCCGGGTGGCGGGCTCGATCCCCAGGGCAGGAGGCAGCCCGTCAGCGACTCTGCCATCATAGATGATTCTCTCTGTCTCTCCCCCTCTCCCTTCCTCTCTCTGAAACCAATAAAGGTATACTATAAAAAATAATAAATATAGAAAATACATCATGAGGTAATTCAGGCTCACACCATCCCTGGTTCACACACCACAGCTGCATTTCTGGTGAAGAAAATAGAGTGAGTTCTCCCATTTCCTCAGCGTGACTGAGGGGTGCAGATTGGGCTGTGGGATTGTTGGCGTCGGTAGCTGGACATTAATGAGGAGAGCAGAGGGACTCAGACGTGAGCATAATAAAGTAGGAGCTCAATCAAATATTGGCCTGTATTGCAAGGAAGCCCCAGCATTCATAGGCACGCCTGGGGATCACAGTGTCGCCTGGGGAATTAACACCCCTCCCTCCCTGTGTACGGAGAAAGGGTCAGCCTTCCAGGCTCCCCAGGGCACAACCAGTCGGTGTCTCCAAACTATAGGGGGAAGAATATACACTAAGGGGAACAATTCTCTCTCGGGTGCATGCCCTAAGCCTCGATGGTGTGGGGACGTGGTTCTTCTATAGGGTATGCACGCTAGGAACTAAGGTGCTGACCATAAAGGGGGGGGGCCTAGGCTGGGGAAAGGATCAGATGGGGTGGGGACACAGCCCCAGGAG